TAAGCAAGCTCACCGACCTCGGTGAGCAAGGGGAGCGTCGCCCCGACGCCGGCCCGTGCTCCGACTTCCACACCTCCAGCGACATTGTCTCGTGGAACACCACATCCGACATGGTGACCACCATGTTGTCAGTGAGGTCGAGGAGCTCCCAGCCCTTGCTCTCCTCTGACACACCGAGATGGAGACCCGCTTCAAGTTCCCACCATGCTATTGCTCGGGAACCAGGAACTGTGCCATGCAGCCCCACACTTGTGCCCGCAACAAGTCGGGCTTCAACCCGGTGAGCAGCTGGTACGGCGTCGTCCCCGGTGGTAGCATCGACCTCTCGAGGCAGTTGCGGACCCAGACGGCCTGCCGCAGAGCGAGGTGCCACCAGTGGTGCTGCACGCCCATGTGCAGCAGCATCGTTCGCACCGACTCCACCACCGTCCTTATCTCCCGCTCCGCCATTCCATTCTGTTGCAGGGTAGAGGGGCAGGTCAGGTCGTGGACGATGCCCTTGCCGTCCACGAAGTCAGTGAAATGCTTCTCGAGGAACTTTCCGCCACGGTCTAAGCGCAGCATCAGCACCGACTTCTTCGCCTACCGCTCAATCACCACTATCCACTGAGCGAAGTCCTGCAGCACGTCGGACTTCTCAGCGACCGGCCTAACCCACACATAGCAGGTCTTGCGGTCCTTCAGCTGCAGGAAGTACAGGATGCCATCCTTGGCAGCCACACGGAAAGGCCCGCACAAGTCGATGTGCACGACGGCCAGGGCATCCTCAGCATCGGAGCCCTTTCCGGGAAAGGTGTGCCGCGCCAGCTTCCCACTGACGCGCGACACATACGGAGAGTCGGTGCCGGTCGATTGCGTGATCTCTAGGCCGGTGGCGACCTCATGCTTCGCCGAGCTTGTGATGGTGTCGACACCGACATGCGCAAGCCTCGCATCCACCAGGCCGGCGTTGACTTCGTCGCCGAGACGATCGCCCGCACAGCCACCACCTCCGCCGCAGCCATTGTTGGCTTCGCCGAGAAAGGGCGCAGGTCGGTGCAGAGGACCCGGCCGGTGTACGTCGCCCGACCAAGCATGCCCCGTGCCGCCGTGACGAGCAACATCCCGTCGCCGTCCTCCTGCAGCTTCACGCCATTCTCTTTCAGGTGACCGGCTGAAAGCAGGTTCGCCTACACGCCCGGGACGTAGAGCACATTGGGGATGAGCACCTGCTTCCCTGCGTCCCTTGCAGAGCGACGGTGCCACGGCCGCGAAGACCCATTGAAGCCGCGCATGTGCTTCACGTCGACGCTTGGTGCAAGTCGACGAAGGCGTCCTTTGTCCCCATCAGGTGGTGCGAGCAGCCGTTGTCGAACAGGACCACCGCCGGGTTCGCCTGCAAAGCTGCCGCCACCGCCTGGATGTCCTCGCCAGCCTCCGGCGACAGCGAGACGGTCAGCTCCACGATGCCAACCAGCGAGCACGACACTTCCTTGTCGCCTCGCCCCTTGCCACCAGAGGAAGAGTCGGTGCCCTTCGCCGAGGTCGACTGGGTCGACTGCTTCTCCTTACGCGGCTTGCTCCCCCGAAGACGGCGACGTCCTGCCAATCTTCCGCGACCTCCCTTGGCATCGTCATCATCGGAGTCACTGCGGTCTGGACACTCGAAGGAGAGGTGGTCGGGTCATGGCAGATCCAGCACTCCCGACATCGACTTCCTCCTCCTCGACCGCCGTCCTTTGCGACATCTACTTGTCGGCATCCCTGGCAGGCTTCACACCCCCGCTTCCACCGCCGCCAGACTGCACACGCAGCCCCAGACAACCTCCTTTCTTCGTCGGGGCGGCGTAGTTTGCCTGCGGCAGGAGCTCCATGGACCGCTCGGCCTCTTGCATCGCCTCGTCCCGGAGAATAAACGAGGTCAAGGAGTCCTCGTTGAGCGTCGCCCGCATGCCCGGCACCACAGACAGCTGCTTCATCAAGTTGTCGCTGCTCAGGAGCCCTTTCAGACGTGTGTTACGTACGACGCCGTCGAATACTGCACGCCGGCCATCCTCATGGTGGCGAGAAGTTGCCTTGCCCGATTGCAGTAGTCGGTCGACGTCTCCTGCTCGCCCATCCGCAGATGCGTCATATGCTCATCGAGGTGGCCGATGTACAGGTCATCCGTGATCTGGTACATCGACGTGATGAAGTGCCACGCCTGGTGGCCGGCATCCAAGCAGTCCCTGCACGGCTTCAAGGCGATATGCACGCCCGGCGAGCAGCAACGCGAGATGACCGTGAAGGTCATCAACTGCACGACGCAAAACTCCGCACGCAGCTCGGGGTTGCTCAACAATGGCGTCGCCACGGTGCCGTCGGCAAAGCACATCAGCCCGGCCATCTCCAGTTGGGGCTCGATGGCCTCCTTCCACGTGAGGATGTCAAAGCGGCCGGCCAGTAGGGGGCTACCGGGGATCCTGTCCGGCGTAAACTTGAAGTAGCCGTAGCTCGGCGCGATCCCTCCCGCCGTGACGTGGGTCGCCGACGCCGCCGTCACGCTGCTTGAACGTCCTCCAACGTCGCCATGCGAAGAGCCTACTGCCGTCGACGACTGCAGCCGTTGACGACTGCAGCCCTCGCGCCTGAACACCGCCGACTTCATCGGCCTGAATCACACCTCTCTGCCTCGACGTGCCTCCTGCACTGCTGCCGACTTGGTCACCGGCGTTGACGCCCACGTCGACGCGGCCTTTGTTCACCGATCGAGGAGAGGCTGGTCGAGAAGGGTGCTCCGTCGCCCACACGGTGCGGATTCCCGCCTCGATGACCGCCAAGGGTAGGTTAGGCCCATACTCGCCATCCTGGTGGCGTCTCCTCGCATCCTCCGGTCGTGCCTCCAGAGTGTCTACCACCCCTGCGTCACCTACGTGCCTACCATGGTGACTAACACAGCTGCCGGCCTGCGATCGAAATAGGTATCGTGCAACGAAGTCGACTAGATGCCGTCCACACTCACCGCACCATGCGGAGATAACTCTAGCAACGGGAGCTAGTCTACGGGCTAAGCACAGGGTGGGAGTGTTTGTAGCATTCGTTCCTCAGTCGTTTCCTTGTGTGCTCACTACTTGCTAGTTCACGTGGAGAATTGGCAAGAGTTCCACTAGGAAAAGTTGACAACAATGGTTCAGAATAGCAAGGCAACAGCGAATACATCAGATGCTAGCATGCAAGCTGGACGACTGCTAGCGCAGCACGGTCGACCGCGTTCCAGCACAACTTGGTCGACCGTGCTCCAGCAGGGCAATGTCGCGGTCTGCCAACATTGCAGGTCGACGACGTGCCAACACTGCAAGAAGTCGTATGCACAACGTTGCATCCACAGGACAGCAACGCACCCGCTTCGCAGGTGCTCGCAGATGATTGGCATGCCGAGTCTTGTCACCTGCGCAGCGCACGCACCAGATCATTCTCATGCTGACGACTGCATCTGATCAGCCACGTTGACCTCGGGATACCACACCGAGGTCGTCCTCGCCACGAACACCTGGGCGACCGTCGCGTGCCTTTGCAGAAACCCGTCGCCCGGGTAACCTGGTCGACCGGGCAACCACCACGTCGACCGGTTCCTCCTTGTGCTCGTCGATCACCCAGGTCAACGACCACCACTGGCCGACAACACCAAGTCGACCGCACACCTGGTCAACTAGCTCCAGGTCAACCAGCCCAGCTGTCAGCCGACCACCCAAGTCGGCTGCCCCAAGTCAGCATCCCCAAGTCGACGCCTCCAAGGTCAACCTCGCCTGGTCAACCACCTATACTCGGCGCCCTCCGAAGTCGGCGCCTCTGCAATGACCCCCGTGCAAGTCGACCAGTCCCGTCGACCGGCTCGCCCACTGCTGCAAGTCGGCTGCAACTCCCGTACACCTGACAACGAGGTCGACCTCGCCCAAGCGAGGACGGGGCCAAACACAACTCCCGTTGACAGGACACACTAACTCATCGTAGGCAGATGACAATGAGACTCGCATGTCCTCTCTATGCTACTGCTTCACTCTTGGCGTAGGAGCGGTATCGTGGAGATCGACTTGCTCGTCATCGGTGGCACAGTCCAGCTATAAGTTGTATATTTACAATGACGCTATCGCTGCTTAGAAGTTACGCTGGCTGACGTTCTTAATAATTAACTTAAGAGAGATGCCTAGCTCTTCCCCGGCCGTGTTCACTAATAACAGGGCCATGATCCTCATGTGTCAGAAGCATAGACTAGAGGCGGAGCGAAGCACATACAGCTATGGTAGTTTTTTCTACGTGAGCTGTAGCAGCACGGCCAGGCATGCGTAATACACTTTGCCTCAGGGGCTAACATAGTTGACATCTTCATTAAGGCGCACCCACCTCATGATCACCAGTGATTTCGCACACAGTTTGGCCCCGTCCTAGTAGGAACTCACTTGTTAGGATCTTGATCACTCAACATTGTACTTGATCTGATTATGTCTGGTTATACTTATTGATTGGCCTTATGTCCAGGTACATTTTGCCTAGGCCCTCGAATTCATCCCAAGTGTGGTGGATGGTGTTTTGCCCTGACTAATATAATTTATAGAAGTCAGACTGGACAGGTCGATACTGGTAAGAAACCCAAAATCGGGGCTGGCAATGACGAGGTTAACCACCAAACCGCCATCCTCACAGCCAGCCGCGAGTATCGCTTCTCCTTCCACGTTTCCTCGCCAGAATTGCCTGCGCTTTATCCGCCAACTCGCACACTCTCCAGCGCAATGCGCCGTCCTTTCAGCGTATCTGCCGCTTCGTGCCCCTCCCTCCCCAACACCTTCCTTCTCCGCCCGTCCAGCTGAATCGTTATCTGGGTCGCATCGTCTCTCACATTAACCTTCTCGTGCTCTCCATCATTGCGGCACCCGCCTCTGCCCGCGCCCGTCGTCGTACCGCGCGAAACTTTGTGAATGCGGCGGCAACCAACGTAGTCTGCTTCCGCTCCGCCTGTCCACTCCGCGTGGCGTGCGCCCCGCGCCATGCAGCGGCCGATCGCGGGCCGTCTGAAGCACGCGGGGTCGACGCCGCTCGTGGTCGTAGCGGACGACGTGCCGCCCATCAGAATCGCGGAGCGCCGTGCGATCGACCACCTGAGCGATCTCGACCATCCACGTGGCTCCCCGCTCGCCAGTGGCAAGCACGCGAGCCCACAAGCCGCCGCCTTCCGCGCGTCCTCCGCCGGCGGCGGCGTCGCCTCCCCGGTCGCCGCCTTCTCCCCCGCGGCGCTCTCCCGCGAGTTCGCTCTCGCCGCCGGCAGCCACTTCCACGGCAGCCCCGCGCACGCGCACGCGGGGCACGGCGCACACGCGGGCCACGGGGTGGGGGGAAGCGGAGCGGCGGGCGCGGAGAGGGCGGGCGGGGGCGCGGTGGTATCGAACGTGGCGGTGGTGGCGGTGCTGCTGCTGCTGCTGAACCTGTCCACCATCTACCTCTTCTTCCAGTCAGGGCTCTCCTCGCGCTCCCTCTCCGCCGCCTCCGCCGACATCCGCCTGCGCAGCGCCCCGCAGGAGCGCGCCATGGCGCACCACGCCGCGCTCTCCAGCGACCCCCCCGCCCGCCCACGGTACGCCGCTGCCATGCGCTGGCAGGCCGTACGCACTGCTTGGGGTGCCACCTGTGCTGCATGACACCGCATTGCATTGCATTGCATTGCATTGCATTGCATTGCATTGCATTGCATTGCATTCCATTTCATTGCATTGCATTGCATTGCATTGCATTGCATTCCATTGCATTGCATTGCATTGCATTGCATTGCATTGCATTGCATTGCATTGCATTCCATTGCATTGCATTGCATTGCATTGCATTCCATTGCATTGCATTGCATTGCATTCCATTCCATTGCATTGCATTGCATTCCATTCCATTGCATTGCATTGCATTGCATTCCATTCCATTCCATTGCATTGCATTGCATTGCATTGCATTGCATTGCATTGCATTCCATTCCATTGCATTGCATTGCATTGCATTGCATTGCATTGCATTGCATTGCATTGCATTGCATTCCATTGCATTGCATTGCATTGCATTCCATTCCATTGCATTGCATTGCATTCCATTGCATTGCATTGCATTGCATTCCATTCCATTGCATTGCATTGCATTCCATTCCATTGCATTGCATTGCATTGCATTCCATTCCATTCCATTGCATTGCATTGCATTGCATTGCATTCCATTCCATTCCATTGCATTGCATTGCATTGCATTGCATTCCATTCCATTGCATTGCATTGCATTCCATTCCATTGCATTGCATTGCATTGCATTCCATTCCATTCCATTGCATTGCATTGCATTGCATTGCATTGCATTCCATTCCATTCCATTGCATTGCATTGCATTGCATTGCATTGCATTGCATTGCATTGCATTGCATTCCATTGCATTGCATTGCATTGCATTCCATTCCATTGCATTGCATTGCATTCCATTGCATTGCATTGCATTGCATTCCATTCCATTGCATTGCATTGCATTCCATTCCATTGCATTGCATTGCATTGCATTCCATTCCATTCCATTGCATTGCATTGCATTGCATTGCATTGCATTCCATTCCATTCCATTGCATTGCATTGCATTGCATTGCATTCCATTCCATTGCATTGCATTGCATTCCATTCCATTGCATTGCATTGCATTGCATTCCATTCCATTCCATTGCATTGCATTGCATTGCATTGCATTCCATTCCATTCCATTCCATTGCATTGCATTGCATTGCATTCCATTCCATTCCATTGCATTGCATTGCATTGCATTGCATTGCATTGCATTCCATTCCATTCCATTCCATTGCATTCCATTCCATTCCATTGCATTCCATTCCATTCCATTGCATTGCATGCTACCACGCGATGACCAGTCCCATGATGTCTCTCCCACCCATTTCCCTCCCCACCACCCCCCCTCCCCTCCCCATTCTCAAACCCACCCTTCCTCCTCTCCCCCCTCCCAGCACGCATGCAGGTGGGGGGGCAAGCAGCAATCCGGTGCAGGCGGAGGGGGGGGCGGGCATGGGGAGGGGCGTGGGTGCGCATCTGAGCGCGGCAGTGAGGGCGAGGGAGACGGTGAACGGGCGGCTGTTTCACATCGCGCCGGGGCTGGCGGCCAGCAAGGTGCCCTGGAACGCCACCGACAACTCGTTTCTGCTCTCCCTCGTACGCTCCCTGCCTCCCCTCCATCCCGCTCTACGCCCCTTTTCTCTCTCCTATGGCCGCCCTCGCCCTACTCCATGTGCCTCTCTCTCTCTAGATGCCTGCCGAGGGTGTTGATGCCGCCACATGCCATGCTCCCATCCACATGCCATGCTCCCATCCACATGCCATGCTCCCATCCACATGCCATGCTCCCATCCACATGCCATGCTCCCATCCACATGCCATGCTCCCATCCACATGCCATGCTCCCATCCACATGCCATGCTCCCATCCACATGCCATGCTCCCATCCACATGCCATGCTCCCATCCACATGCCATGCTCCCATCCACATGCCATGCTCCCACATGTCTAGTTCCCATTTCCACATGCCGTGCCCTCACATTCTTGGCCTCGCGCTTCCCTGCACCCCTGTGCCTCTGCCTGTGCCTCTTCGCCCCTGCCTGTGCCCTTTCGCGTTTGGCCTCCCTCCCTCCCTTGGCATGTGCCCCTGGCGTGAATGGAAGGGCAGAGGGGCAAGTGGGACGTGAGGTCGTTCTCGCTCATGCCGGGGGTGTTCCTGCTGCAGCAGCCTGACGACTTCGCCTGTGTGCTGCTCATCCAGGACGCCTGCTACGTGCACATGACAGGTGGGTGGGTACCACGTGGCACATGACAGATGGGTGGTGCCACATGGCACATGACAGGTGGGTGGGTGCCACGTGGCACATGGCAGGTGAGTGATACGTGCACATGACAGGTGCGTCGTCACTCGTGCACATCACAGGTCCACTGCTGCAGCACGCACGGTGGTTCTCGGCCAAGAAAGCACCTTTATTTGCACTTATGAGTTATCGCCTCATACCCACCTCCTGTCTCCCCACCCCCTCCTCCCCACCCCCTCCTCCCCACCGCTCCCGCAGGTTCGTTACGCCCAAGGTTCAAAATTACGACCGAATTATTGGAAATTCTCCGTATAATACGGTATCGTATAATACGAGCGTATAATACGGTTTAAAACGGTAGATTGTGGGTTTTTTTGTTTGGTTCAAAAATACGACCGTATAATTCGACCGAATTTAAAAAACGAGTCTGTGTATATCGAAACGCGAAATTTCCCACCCGTGGATAACCCAAACTCAAATTTCTCTGACATCCGTACACACGAATGTGCGTTTTCCCCGAGTCGCAAATGTCACGACTTCAGCGCGTCGCGACATTTGGGCATTTGGCGACGCCCACATCCAGTTTACATGTTTCGCCACCACGTTGGCATTAGTCGCCGAAGGGGAACGTGTTCTATTTCCCGAGGCGCGACTCTGCAACTGTTGGCGAAGGTTACCCATTCGATCGCACGTATCGTTTTCCCCGTTCAACATTTTCGCGCAGCGGAGGTTTTTTTCGCCCGCAGTCGCGACACATCCAAAAGTGGCGGTGCGAAACCAAGCCAACCAATCGGAATACGTCCCTTGCGCTCAACCCTTTCCCAAACCCACTCGACACAACACGCCCAGTTTCCACTACGAGGTACTTAGTAGCTTTGTTTAGTCACTCCTAATCCTATGCATAGCACTAGTCTAGTCTTCAGTGTGCTCCACCAGGGATCGTGCCAGTCAGGGCATACGCCATGGCGAGGCAGAAATCGCCGCTGTGGAAACACGTTACAACGGCGAAGGGACCAGACGGCACTTTAACGGCGAAATGCGTACACTGCTCCAACTCCGTGACTGCTAATGCAACACGCATAGGAGAGCACATCTATGGGACGCCTTCTGACCATGATAAGAATGTGAAGCCGTGCGGCCACGAAGTCGCCATCAAACTTCGCGAGGAAGCAGCAGCAGCTAGTGAGCGTTCTGGAAGCGCCAGTCCGTCAATCCATGGCTCCACTTCGACCCTCGACATCCAGCCCGCTCGTCGCACTCGGCAGCGGGACATCCGCCACATGGTGGATGACTCTGCACGCGCTCGACTGGACTACCTATGGGCCGCTGCAGTGGCTGATAACGATTGGGCGTTCCACACGTCCAAGTCGCCAGCCGTGCAGAACTTCGTGGATGCGGCTGTTGCCTACGGGAAACAATACAACCTCCCGTCCCCCTTCAGGGTTTCTGGTGTGCTGCTTCAGAAACTGGTTGCGGATACCGAGGACATTGTACGGCCCCTGAAGGAGAGTTGGAACACTACCGGCTGCACCATCTCCGTGGACGGCTGGACCTGCATGAAGAGCCGTGGGCTCGTGTGTGTCATAGCCCACAATGACACGGCGCCTGTCATCGTGAAGACCATGGACTCCAAGACCGCGAAAAAGACGGGGGAGTACTTGGCCGGCCTCATCCGGACCTCGATCGCCGAGGTTGGAGACAAGAAGGTGGTCCAAGTCGTCATGGACAATGCGTCCAACAACCGCAGGGCGGCCGACATTCTTCGTGACGGGTTTCCCGCCATTTTCTTCAACAACTGTGCGGCGCACGTCCTCGACTTGATGCTTCACTACATCGGCAACGTCCGTGCTGTGAAGCGGGTGCTAAACCAGGTGCACAGGGTGGTTATGATGGTCAAGGGCAGCGCGTCCGCCGTCACGCTCTTCCACGATTTGTTTAGCACACTGTCCTTGGTGCGACCCGGTGCAACACGCTTCGGCACGCAGGTTATTATGATTACCCGCTTCCTGGAGGTAAAGAGAGCGCTCAAGGAGATGGTGATAAGTGAAGAGTGGGAGGCGGTGGCGGTGGCACGGTCTGAAGAGGGGCAAGCTGTCCGCACGCTCCACTTGGATGAGGTCTTTTGGGACTGCGCGACAGCGGTCCTCCGCCTCATGACTCCCGTGTACGAAGTGCTGCGGGTGGTTGACACGCGTGCTCTAGTCATGGGCCAGATTTATGGCCTCATGCTAGATGCCACAGTGAAGACAAACGAGGCAGCAGAGGCGGCAGGTAAGCTGTGAATTGCCACACGCTTTGACTATTGTATACCCTTCCCGCCCATTGTACTCACCTCGTGCTCTCCGGTTCTCCCGATGGGCAGCCAAACTGATGCTGAAACGCACAGCTCTCTTGCCGGCCAAGGAAAAGCCGGCCTTTCTGAACGCCATCAAGGCTATCATAGCCAGGAGGTGGGACGCCCAGCTCCACAATCCACTCCATGCTATGGGGTGGCTTCTCAACCCCCGCAATCAGTACCTAGGGGAGGTGAAGAACGATGCCGAGGTAAGACGCGGGGCGGAAGCGGTGATCCAGGCCCGTGGGGGGGAAGACGCTCAACGCGCGCTGCTGTTGGCGCAGCTGACGCAGTTTCATCAGGGCAAGGGGCTGATCGGGTCCGATGACGCCCGTTGGGCAACAACGGAGTTGGTGGCGAGTGGGCGCTTGACGGAGGCGGAGTGGTGGCTGATGTACGGCGGGGAACTGCAGGCGCTCATGGGGATGGCTGTGACGCTGCTGTCACAGCCAGTCACGTCATCTGAGGTGGAACGCTATTGGTCCGCCATTGCACGTGTGCAGAGGCGGGACCGTAACCGCATCAGCGCCAAAAAGATGATGGACGTGACCGAGGTGGCGTTCGCCAGGAGGGCCAGGGATGCATTCGATAGGAAAACACGGGAGAGGGCGAAGCTCTATGCCGATCTGGCCAACGGCACTCTCGAGCAAGGGAGTACCATTGAACCGGCAGCAGCAGAAGAAAAGGAAGTGGGAGACGACGAGGAGGAGGGAGAGGGGAATGAGCAGCTATGCACCATTGATTGGGACCTTTTCGGGAACATTGGGAAGCGGAAGAAGAAGGTGCCTAAGTCCGCTAAAAGGAAGAGAAACGGGAAGGCCAAGAAGCCTATCAAGGGAACGAGGAAGGCAACAACTGTGGGAGAGGAAGAGGGTGAGGAGGAGGAGGCGGCGAATAGCAGTGGAGGGGAGGAGGAGGACGTGCCCACTAAGGCTCGAACTGGCCATGATCCTTGGGACATCAGTGACGGGTCTAGTGGGGAGGAAGAGGAGGAGGCGGATGACGATGAGGAGGAGGAGGAGCAGGATGAGTAGAGTAGAGAGGAGGCGGCAGGTGGGAGGAGAGAGAGAGAGAGGGGCCGATAGGATAGGGTTGGAGTAATGTAGTGTTCGGTAGTAGTCGGAATGGTAGATTTCTGTTGTAGTTCTGTTGCTATGCTAGGCTTGTGAGTATGTTTTTGAACCTAACAAGCAATTCCAGAGCTTGCTTGGAGGAAAAAAAAAAAAAACAAAGTCTATTAAAAATACGGCGTATTTTTGAGAAATGCACCGTATAATACGACCGTATAATACGGACCGTATAATACGAAAACCGTAATTTTGATCCTTGGTTACGCCTGCGCGTGGCAGCAGCAGGCAAGGCATGTGGTGGGTGAACGAGGGCGGGCGTGCTTTGAGCTGCACTCCATCAGCAACACCCGCACTGCACTCCCCCTCCCCCCCGATCCCCCACCCCACCTCCTCCTCCCAGGCCCTTCGTGCCGGCACACAGCATCAGCGGGCATGTGGTATGCAGACGAGGGTATGCAGACGAGGGTGTGCGCCACTTCACTCCATCACCACCTCCAACCACCTCTGCTCTCCCATCCGTCCGCTCCCCCCCCCCCGCCGCTCCCCCCTTCCCTTGCCCTCTCCTCTCCCCCAGGTCCATCGCGGCTGCACGCGCCGATGGCGGGCATGTGGTATTCGGACGAGGGCGTGCGCGACTTCAAGCGCATCAGCACGTCCAACGACCTCTGCTCGCTCTTCCCCGACGCCCTCGCCGACCATCAAGACCACGCCTGGCGCTCCCTCTCGCCCCGAGAGGCCCGCGCTGCCCTGGAACGAGAGGGCGCTGTTGGGAGAGATGTGGTGCGGTTGAGAGGGGTGGAGGAGGAGGGAGGAGCTGGGGAAGTGGATGGGCGCAAAGGGGGTGCGGGAGGTGGGAGGAAGGGGAGTGGGGTGGGGAAGGAGAGGTATGGTGGGAGGGTGGAGCGAAGGGAGGAGGAGGAGGAGGGGGATTGGAGGGACAGCGGTCGGGTTGGGTACTCAGCTGAGGAGGGGGAGGAGGGGGAGGAGAGACGGGCTCACATGGACAAGAGGCGACGCCTCCTATCCGAATCGGAGCAAAAACCCGCCAAAACCCACAACCCTGTGCCTTCCCACCCTAAAAAAGCCACCCCTTCAGCCACCCAGTCACCACCCACCCCACCCCAGCAGCAGCAGCAGCAGCAGTCAGCAGCACCCGTGGTCCTGTCGGGGTTTGAGAACCAGGCACCGGGGTTCACGGACGAGTTTGACGAGGAGCTGCACGACATCACGGACATCAAGCGCCGTGAGAACCGCGTGTACGGCCGCTTCGAGAGCGCGCACGCGGTGGCGTGCTACCTCAACCTCAGTGACGCAGCTAGTCGGGCGCGGATGGCCAAGGGGCCGAAAGGGGGGCGCGTGGAGAAGGTGGGGTATGTGCCGCGGCATAACACGTACATGGGGGATTTTGGCGAGGCCGTTGTGCCGCTCATGCAGGCCGCTGGTGAGTGCAGGCCGCCGGTGAGTGCTTCGCCACCTCTTTGTCTCCCTCTCTCATGTCAATCTCGCCTCCTTGTCTCCCTCTCTCATGTCAATCGCCTCCTTGTCTCCCTCTCTCATGTCAATCGCCTCCTTGTCTCCCTCTCTCATATCAATCGCCTCCTTGTCTCCCTCTCTCATGTCAATCGCCTCCTTGTCTCCCTCTCTCATATCAATCGCCTCCTTGTCTCCCTCTCTCATGTCAATCGCCTCCTTGTCTCCTTCTCTCATATCAATCGCCTCCTTGCCTCCCTCTCTCATGTCAATCGCCTCCTTGTCTCCCTCTCTCATGTCAATCGCCTCCTTGTCTCCCTCTCTCATGTCAATCGCCTCCTTGTCTCCCTCTCTCATGTCAATCGCCTCCTTGTCTCCCTCTCTCATGTCAATCGCCTCCTTGTCTCCCTCTCTCATGTCAATCGCCTCCTTGTCTCCCTCTCTCACGTCAATCGCCTCCTTGTCTCCCTCTCTCACGTCAATCGCCTCCTTGTCTCCCTCTCTCATGTCAATCGCCTCCTTGTCTCCCTCTCTCATGTCAATCGCCTCCTTGTCTCCCTCTCTCACGTCAATCGCCTCCTTGTCTCCCTCTCTCACGTCAATCGCCTCCTTGTCTCCCTCTCTCATGTCAATCGCCTCCTTGTCTCCCTCTCTCATATCAATCGCCTCCTTGTCTCCCTCTCTCATGTCAATCGCCTCCTTGTCTCCCTCTCTCATATCAATCGCCTCCTTGTCTCCCTCTCTCATGTCAATCGCCTCCTTGTCTCCCTCTCTCATGTCAATCGCCTCCTTGTCTCCCTCTCTCACGTCAATCGCCTCCTTGTCTCCCTCTCTCACGTCAATCGCCTCCTTGTCTCCCTCTCTCATGTCAATCGCCTCCTTGTCTCCCTCTCTCATATCAATCGCCTCCTTGTCTCCCTCTCTCATGTCAATCGCCTCCTTGTCTCCCTCTCTCATATCAATCGCCTCCTTGTCTCCCTCTCTCATATCAATCGCCTCCTTGTCTCCCTCTCTCATGTCAATCGCCTCCTTGTCTCCCTCTCCCATGTCAATCGCCTCCTTGTCTCCCTCTCTCATGTCAATCGCCTCCTTGTCTCCCTCTCTCATGTCAATCGCCTCCTTGTCTCCCTCTATCATGTCAATCGCCTCCTTGTCTCCCTCTCTCACGTCAATCGCCTCCTTGTCTCCCTCTCTCACGTCAATCGCCTCCTTGTCTCCCTCTCTCATGTCAATCGCCTCCTTGTCTCCCTCTCTCATGTCAATCGCCTCCTTCTCTCCCTCTCTCACGTCAATCGCCTCCTTGTCTCCCTCTCTCACGTCAATCGCCTCCTTGTCTCCCTCTCTCACGTCAATCGCCTCCTTGTCTCTCTCTCTCACGTCAATCGCCTCCTTGTCTCCCTCTCTCATGTCAATCGCCTCCTTGTCTCCCTCTCTCATGTCAATCGCCTCCTTGTCTCCCTCTCTCACGTCAATCGCCTCCTTGTCTCCCTCTCTCATGTCAATCGCCTCCTTGTCTCCCTCTCTCATGTCAATCGCCTCCTTGTCTCCCTCTCTCATGTCAATCGCCTCCTTGTCTCCCTCTCTCATGTCAATCGCCTCCTTGTCTCAGCTACGGTGGCACCTCTCACGTCCTGCCGGGACAGTGCCTGGGGTGACAGGCTTGCCATGGCATCGCTGGGGCACTGGCATGGATTATCTCCCTCAACACTGCACACCACCCCCGCCCCTGCAACCCCCCTTCCCCATTCCTTCCCCTGCCCCTGCAACCCTCCTCGCCCCTTTCCTCCACCAACCGTCCCACTCCCCCATGCTCCCCTCCTTCCCACCCAGTGCACCTGGTGCGCGCGCCCCCGTTGGACCCATCAAAGGACACGAGGGGGGAGGGGCGCGTGGTGTTCTTCCCGGGGGAGCACGAGGTGCGCAGCGCGTGGACGGCTGACATGGCGCACATCCTCTTCGGCCCCAAGGCGCAGCTGCTGCTCGGCCACTCGCCCGGGCTCAAGGTGAGCGGCAGCAGGCGAGAGACAGGAGGTGAGGGGCAGAAGGTGGGTGGGGCAGAAGGTGGGTGAGAGTGAGGGTTCAAGGTGTGTGAGGGGAGGGAACAGGTGAGGGACAGGGGCTGACAAGCACAAAAACCACCCCTCCATACACATATGATTTCGCACGGCCCTCCTCCCCACGAACCGCCTCCGCACACTCCCCCGCCACTGCCCTTGTCTGCAACCCCATTCCATTCCCTTGGTCCTTTTCCTGCCTCGGCCCTCCAGTTCCCACCCCCCCCCTCTCTTCTTTCCAACCCCATTCTCCAAGAGCGTTTCCCCCCTCCCTACCCCCAAACCGAATCAGTATTAGAAACTCAATGATTCCATGATAGATTGGACTGGTCCCTCAGCAGCCCCCCTCCGCTCCGCGCCCACCAAACCCGCCTGTACCCAATCACGCCACTGCCCTTCCTTCCTCTCCCGCTCCCACCCTTTCCCTCCGCACTGCTGTGCCTTCCCCTCCCCCCTTCTCCATGCCCTGCTCCCCCCTTCTCCATGCCCTGCTCGCCCCTTCTCCATGCCCTGCTCGCCCCTGCGCGCCCCACCTCTGAGTGCGCCAGGTGTGTTTCCGCAACGCACTCTTCCCGCTGAACCGCCTGCACACGGCGCAGGCAGCGGACACGCTGAGGCAGTGGGCGCTGCTGGGCGCGGGGGGGCGCAGCAAGGGCAAGGGCAAGAAGGGGAGGCAGTCGGGTGTGGTGCGCGTGAAAGTGCTGCGCACCAGCCGCAGCCTGCCGCCCGTGCCAGCCACGCCTGGATCCCAGGTTGGTCGAGTGGAGAGGGGTGGCGAGAGATAGGTGGGGGGAGAGGGCATGTTTGTGTGTGGCATGTTTGTGTGTGGCATGTTTGTGTGTGGCATGTTTGTGTGTGGCATGTTTGTGTGTGGCATGTTTGTGTGTGGCATGTTTGTGTGTGGCATGTTTGTGTGTGGCATGTTTGTGTGTGGCATGTTTGTGTGTGGCATGTTTGTGTGTGGCATGTTTGTGTGTGGCATGTTTGTGTGTGGCATGTTTGTGTGTGGCATGTTTGTGTGTGGCATGTTTGTGTGTGGCATGTTTGTGTGTGGCATGTTTGTGTGTGGCATGTTTGTGTGTGGCATGTTTGTGTGTGGCATGTTTGTGTGTGGCATGTTTGTGTGTGGCATGTTTGTGTGTGGCATGTTTGTGTGTGGCATGTTTGTGTGTGGCATGTTTGTGTGTGGCATGTTTGTGTGTGGCATGTTTGTGTGTGGCATGTTTGCTCACCCCATGGCCCCATGCTCTGCCACTCCCTCCGGTCGCTGCCCTTGCACTCCCCCCTTGTGCACCCAACCCCCGTGTGCAACCAACCCCCGTGTGCACCCAACCCCCGTGTGCAACCAACCCCCGTGTGCACCCAACCCCCGTGTGCAACCAACCCCCTTGTACACCCAACCCCCTTGCACACCCCCCTTGCACACCCCCCTTGCACACCCCCCGTGTGCACACCCCCCGTGTGCACACCCCCCGTGTGCACGGGGTGTCAGGCGCTGCCTGCCCTCCCCCACCCTCTCTTCCCCCCTCCTCTTCCTGACTGCTCCTCCTCGACCTCCCCAGGTCTCCTCTGCCCCACGGCGCATGAGGTGGCAGGTGATGGTGCTGGAGCGAGGTAGGTTGCAGTCCGCACTGCACATCAATCGTCCCACACTGCTGTTGTGGTCTCCTCCCATCCGTGTCGCCGCGTGACTCAATCGCAGGTGCCTGGTGGCAACAGGCATGGCGCGCATGCTCTTGGAGCCACGAGCGGGTTAGTCTGCATACCCACCCATCCCATGCTCCCGCTATGTTCTCCTCCCATCCCTGTCTCCCCTTGGCTCTTACCAGGTGCCCCTCGCCCCGCAGCGCATGCGCTGGCAGGTGATGCTGCTGGAGCGGAAGCAGGGTTAGTGTGCACGACCCCCCACCCCATGCTCCTGCCGAGTTCTCCTCGTGCCATCTGTGTCTCCCTGCGACTCAATCCAGCTGCCATCAGCCCCTCGGTGCATGCGCTGGCAGCTGACGCTGCTGGAGCGGGAGCAAGGGTGGTCTCCTCTCCATGCCCCTCGCCTCAGCAATGCCCCCCTGTCCGCCTCCCATCTCCTGCCCCGCCCAGGTGCCCCCTGCGCCGCGGCGCATGAGGTGGCAGGTGACGGTGCTGGAGCGCGAGAGGGGGCGGTCGGTGATGAATGGGCAGGAGGTGGCGCGCGTGGCACATGCTCTCTTCCCCGAGATGCCGCTGCTCATCGCCCGGGTCGGCAAGGCCTCTGCCTCTGACCACGCTCTGCTGCTCAAGGTGGGGTGGGGGGTAAGAGGGAGAGGGGCATGGGAAGGGTGTGGGGTGAGGAGCGTTGCAAGGCGGCCGCCTTGGACCACGCGCTGCTGCTGGAGGCGGTGCTTTTGAGGGGCGGTTGTGGTCGCTGGCACAGGATTGAAGGGAGAAGGAGAGGTTGGGAAATGTGCTGGGAAAAGGAGCAGGAGAGTGGGCACGGGAGGTGGGGGCCTGGGTCAGTGCCCATGTGTTTCACTTGAGGCTCTTGCGTGACCTGAAGCAGCACACCGCCACGCTGCATTTGACCTCCGTCCCATCTCTTCGCCACTCCATCTGCAACCACATGATTTGAGCAGCCTGTCTGTACGCCAACTCCACCCCCACTCTCCCTTTCCCCCATTCCCCCCCCTCTCTCCCCCTCCCCTCCCCCCTTTCCCATCCCTTTCTCAGAACACCCTGGTGCTGATATCCCTGCACGGCACGCCGCTCACCACGGCACTCTTCATGCCGCGCGGCTCAGTGGTGGTGGAGCTCTTCCCCTACAAGTTCCTCAGCACGCTCTACAAGAAGATCGCCATGCGCTCCGGTGTGCACTACCTCGCCTGGCGCAACATCCATGACATCAGCGCCTTTTTCCGCAACTCGTGCATGAAGGACGGGGGGTTCACGCACCTGCCCGAGGAGCAGTGCTGGAATATTCACGAATGTGTGGCGTGCGCGCGTGATCAGAGCATTACGAGGGTAGATCGGAGGGAGTTCAAGGAGGTTATGGCCAATGCGAGAATGCTTGTCAGAACGCTTGTTTACAATAATACCGTGTAGGCTTGACGTTTTCAGAGTAATGCTAATTTTTGGTATATCTCAGGGGGCAACTCAAGGTGCTAATATGGATGTATCAATGTTCACTCAAGTTGGTGCTTATTTGAATGGGTGGAGCAATCCAACCGTTCAATATTCAGCTAAAACGCACTCAACCGTGTATTGAAAAGCGTGTGGACTTCCGCGCCGGGCCTTTCCGATGCTTCTCGACTGGGTGCGCATTCTGCCAAGCAAATTAACACACCCCGAGGTATGTTTCGTGAGCACTTCGTTGATATTGCAATCTACTGGAAAGGTGTAACAACACTTTTATAAACGACAGCAGACGACCCGCACGACCGTCGTGACGCTCGAAGGCCGAGAAGACGTCGCGAAGGGTCGGGTCCCTCGCTCCACACAATCCCTCCTACGTACAACAGACTTATACGCGGTTCGGTAGCTTTCAGATCGATTTGGCAGGGTTGACGGGCTGGAAAAGTGGTCCTCGAGCCGCGACGAGCTCCCTCGCCAACGAAAATAGGTTTGGAGGTCGGTTCAACGCTTGTGATCCAAGAGGAGGTAATATTAGCAATCACGGAACGCGTACTGGGTCTGCCTTAAAAAACTTGCGTGGTTTCCTCGTCCCGCCTGGCGCTCGTAGCTCTGTCGCCCATTCGTACCGCACAATCTCTGCAATTCTAGTCTCCCTCTTTGCTTACCATCGCGTCTAATTAGTTATAGTGACTCTCCTTGTACGACCCTGGATGTCATATTTCGAAAACCTTTAGCGACGCATGCTGCTCACCCATCAACGCGCGCTTTCGCTTACCGTTGCACGCTCTCCGTAAAGCTTCGTCAGATTCCCTGTAGCTTCGTCAGATTCGCCATAGCAACTTAGCTTTCACCCTGAGCAACACGAGCAGGCGAAGGGAGCAGCAGCGCGTCGTCGAGTGACACCCATAGCAGCACCGCCAAGGCGCTCGGCGCCCGCAGCGCAGCAATCGTCCTTGCTCGCTCGGCACACGCGGTGTCACTATCAGTGAACCCCTGGTGCGAGAGGAGAGGGGGCAGCAAGAGCAGCGTGGGCACACGGGGGGCAGCGAGAGGGGCGATGGAGGCGGGAGCGAAGCGGCCTGAAGATGTGTCTCTGCCCAAAGGTACCTCCGAGCGCCTTCAAGCCCAGCGCTGCCCCGGATGCCTCAAATCCCGCTGTTCTTTGCCGCGCTCTGGCGCTCCAATCTCCACCCTTGGCCTCTCTGCTCTCCCTGCAAGGACTCTAGTCGGGTGCAGCCCCCAGTGCCTGCTCCGCTCCCTTCCTACTCCCAGCACCGCCATCGTTTTATTTCATCTCCGGCGTCACCCTCTCCTCTCCCTTTCCCACTTTTTGTTTTATCCTCACGGGTGTTTGTCAGCGACAATGAGTAGGCTAATAAAGGAGATGCTGCCACGCGACGTGCGAGTTTCCAAGGACACGCAAGACCTCCTCATGGACTGCTGCCTCGGTGGGTTGCCTCGGTGGGTTGCCTCGGTGGGTTGCCTCGGTGGGTTGCCTCGGGTGGCTTGCCTCGATGGGTTGCCTCGGTGGGTTGCCTCGATGGGTGGGTTGCCTCGGTGGATTGCCTCGGTGGGTTCATGGTCTCATGCCTCATGGACTCATGTCTCATGGACTCATGTCTCATGGACTCATGCCTCATGGACTCATGTCTCATGGACTCATGCCTCATGGACTCATGTCTCATGGACTCATGCCTCGTGGACTCGTGTTTCCTCGCTGCCAGCCCGGGTGGGTCGAGAGTGCTTGTATGAACGCAGTGTGTCAAGTTTTCTCACTTCCCACTCGTTCACTCTCCTGCTTGATGGACTTCTCCTCCCCAAGCCCATCCTGCTTGAAGGATCATCCAGTGCGCGCAGAAAGGTTTTGTGCCCTCTAATGCCACATGCTGCATGTTCGCCTGGGCGTGCCGGCACTGCCACACCGTGCTTCGCGCCTCCCCCTGCAGAGTTCATCAATCTGATCTCATCAGAGGCGAATGAGATGTGCAGCAAGGAGGACAAGCGCACCATCGCCCCCGAGCACGTGCTGCAGGCGCTCGAGGTGAGAGGGGGCGGTGGGGTGAGATGGAGGGGTGTGGGGTGAGAGAGAGGACGGTGAGGTGACATAGAAGGCGGTGGGGGTGAGAGATAGGGCGGTGGGGTTGAGAGAGAGGACGGTGGGGGTGAGATAGAGGGTGGTAGGGTTGAGATAGAGGGCGATGGTGGTGAGTGGTAGAAGTAAGCCAGTCCATACCTTCCCTGCCCATGCCCTGGCCTTGCCAATTGAATCTCTCGGACACTTTGCTGCCTCTCTTCCTCTCCTGCTGCGTCTTTCCCACTCTTTTGACACTCTACCCCTCTCGTGTTGCCTGTCTCCCCTTCGCTTGCGCGTGCATGCAGTCGCTGGGCTTCAGCAGCTATCTGGCGGAGGTGCAGGCAGCATACGACCAGCACAAGTCTGAAACACTGGTGACCCACGCACGCCCTCACGCCCCTCCACACACTCCCCTCCTCTCTGCCGTGTTCCATGGTGCAACCCACGATTCACCCCATCGCCTCCACTTCCTCCATTGCCTGCACGGCCTCTTCTGGTTCTGCTGACGCTCGTGGACCTTGAGGCTCGTGGACCTTGAGGCTGCTGCAGCACTCAAGGGGTGCACAGCACAGCCTGTTGGTTAGCGCACACGGGGGGTGCACAGCACAGCCTGTTGGTTAGCGCACACGGGGGGTGCACAGCACAGCCTGTTGGTTAGCGCACACGGGGGGTGCACAGCACAGCCTGTTGGTTAGCGCACACGGGGGGTGCACAGCACAGCCTGTTGGTTAGCGCACACGGGGTTGCACAGCACAGCCTGTTGGTTAGCGCACACGGGGGGTGCACAGCACAGCCTGTTGGTTAGCCCACATGGCTGCGCCACTCACGTGGACTGCATTCTGCTCTGGAGTGACTCGTCTGCGTGTGCCCACCTGGTGGACGCATCCACCAAGCCACGTGCTTGACTGTCACAGTGCCATGTCACCAATGAATCCTGGACCACCATCTCTCCCACTCCCCTTGCACTCCCCCGCTCTCTCTCCCTGCAGGGGTCACTGCGCGCGCTGGGGTGGTGGAGCAGCAGCAAGCCATTCATGGGACATACATGTCTCTGACAATCTGCCCTGCATGCTCCCCTCTCACACCCCCACCCCCACCAACTCCCTCCCTGCCCCTCCCTTGCAGGAGTCACCATGCACGCTGGGGCAGTCGAGCAGCGGCAAGGGACCTCTGACTCTCTGCCTTGCATGCTCCCCTCCACCCTCCCCTCCTCCACCCTCCTCCTTCCTCCCTCCCCCTGCAGGAGTCACCGCGGGCGCTGGGGCGGTCGAGCAGCAGCAAGGCATCGGGGGCGGTGGGGATGAGTGAGGAGGAGGCGATAGCGGAGCAGCAGAAGATGTTTGCCGAGGCGCGCGCTGCCATGCTCAACCTGCAACGGCCCCCCTCCTGATCGCCATCGCTGCCATACGCTTCTGCTACATTTGTTGCTTCCTTGGTGCGACGCTTGTACGCGCACTGTGCACGTTCATGCCCTTCTTCTGTAGCGCTGTTCTTCTGTAGTGCTGTTCTTCTGTAGTGCCATTTCTTTTGTTCTGCATGAGCCAATCTACTGTGTCCTGCCCATGGACGGCCATGCTGCATCGCCTCGCGCTCCTGTCCTTTTATGAACGGTGGGGCTTCGGGCGAGCTTGTTGGTGTGATGTGCACGGCGGTTCTTCTGGTGGGATGCAAGTGCAGTGTAGGGCTGTGCCGTGTTGTGTTGTGTGATCAACCCAGTGCATGAGGTGCACAAAGAGGGCAGCTGCAGTGGGTGGAGTGGTGATGGGAGGGCACCAACACAAGAGCGCATACTACCGTACTAGGGCTCCAAACTGGAGGGGCTGCAAACTGACCTGGTTGCTGTTTTTGCTTCATAATTCATGTGCTTAGGTGAATAGGTTCTTGAATCACGCATCAGAAAGAATCTTGAATCCTTGAATCCGCTGCTACCCGTATGAAGGGCAGACGACTGGTGAATACACACTAACTCACGAAGTAACCACTGGGAATTTCTCAAAGACGTATGCTACTCAGTAGCCGGTGACAGTGGATGAGACCGACCGACCCCTTCATGATGGTGGTGAGAACTTGAAGCGAAAGCGTAAAGGCCGAAGGAGTATTGAACAGCCCAGCCCCGATTAGCGTATTCAAGGTGCCGGTTGGCTGGGAAGCATAAATGAGCGACACCGTCTCTACAACGTTGCAGCTCCAAACGCCACTAGGATCGACAGTGAATATGCAGACGAACTCGGCCACAATGGCGCCTTTACTGTTAATGTACTTGGGATTGGTGAAATTTCTGGCCTGTCACAGAGCATGAAACGAGAATGACTAGAAACAGGGCAGAACAAGGTTGGTATAGGCAAAACCTAACAATACTGTACCCCATAAGGAGTGCCCCACTGCAACCTACAATATAGTTCTGACACACCCCCATAGGCAAAGTGGGGGACAAGCAAGAGAACAAGGCAAGGTCAAGCTCAGGGTGGATCACAACGTCACCACGCATTCTGAGCACAAGTACAAGGCCACAAGGCCAGTTCACATGCAGGATTATAAATCAACGTGAACAAGCAAGACAATGATCTCAAACTAGCAAGGGTAAGCATGTGGGTGCAGGTATATATAGATCACAGTACAAGCAAATTCAAGAGGTAAGCAAGTGAGGCCAGGTAGGCACAAGACCTAATATAGTTCAAAAGCGCTGATGATCACAAGGCTGAAGTGCCTTGGTAAAGATATCAGCAGTGTTGGCCCGAGTGGCCACGTAAGCAAGACGAAGCTGACCACGCTGCTGCAACTCTCGAGCAAGGAAGCAGCACAGAGCAATGTGCTTCGTTCTGTGCTCCAGTCTGTGCTCTTGACACAAGGCCAGCATGGCCTTGTTGTCGACGTACAGAACTGGAGGAGAACGAGGCGCCTCTCCCAAGTCGGTCAGCAGGTAGGTGAGCCAGCGTAACTCCTGTGCAGCCATGGCCCCAGCGTAGATCTCAGCCTCACAACTGGAGCCGAGAACAGAAGACGAGCGGGTAGACCGCCACGAAATAGAGCCGGAACCAAGGCTGAAGGTGTAACCCTGTGACGACCGTTGCGTAGCCAAGTCGTTAACCCAAGAAGCGTCTGCGTGACCAGTGAGGACAACTTGAGCCCATCCTCCAAGCACGAGCCCCATGCCCGACGTACTGCACAGGTAGCGCAACACCCTCTTAGCTGCATCCATGTGCTCTGGTCGGTGTCTCCCAGGAGCAACATAGCGTGCCAAGATGCTAAGAGGGTATGCCAGGTCAGGTCGAGTGCAGGTCATCAGGTACATGAGGCAGCCAACAAGCTCTGGGTACGGGCCACTCGGCTCTACGGACTCATCTGAAGGCAGAGCTGAGAGCGAGTGGCGAGTAGACAGAGGAGTGGCCTGAGGCGAGAAGTATGTGAAGTTGAAGCGCTGAAGGACCTGCTGCACCATGTGTGACTCAGTCAAGGTAATGGTGCGCCATGCTCTATCCCGGGTGATCTGCAAGCCAAGATAGCTGCGCAGCTCACCCAGGTCTGTGCACGTGTGTCTCTTTTGCAGCTCCGACTTCATGTGGGCGAGTCCCTCAGTGTCAGCAGTGGCAAAGTCCAAGTCGTCGACGTACACGAGGATGTAGAACGGCGGCAGCCAAGTGTCGGTGTGCAGAAACAGCGACGGGTCAGCAGTGGAAGGAGCAAACCCAAGGGCCGCAAGAGTAGTCCTCAGTGTGTCGTGCCACTCACGGGGCGCCAGGCGGAGATCATAGACTGGCCGCCGGAGGCTCCACTGGGTACCAGGTGGGCGGCGCAGCCAGATCTCTCCGTGCAGGCTGCCCTGTAGGAAAGCAGTGCTGAAGTCAAGAGAGTGAAGCTCGTAGTCACGCTGAGCGGCGACGTGCAGCAGCACCCGAAGACTGGTCATCTTCGGGGTGGGAGAGAAGGTCTGAAAGTAGTCAACTCCCTGCCGCTGACTGAAGCCTCGAGCCACGTAAGGCGCCTTGAAGACAGGCGGAGAACCCGGCGGCCGCTTCACCCTGAAAATCATTATGCCATCGACAATGTTCGCCCCAGGTGGGGGAACCTCCTCAACGTAGGTGCCTGTGGACTTCCAGGATGCCATCTCTGCGTCCATGGCTGTCTGCCACTGAGAGGAGTAGGGACCCTCTATCGCCTCTGCGTAAGAGCGCAGGGTCGGGATGTCTGGTGCATCCGGGTCTCCCTCAGGGGCAAGCAGCATGGACACGAGATGAGGTAAAGCAGCAGCAAAACACTGGAACTCCTCCTGCCTGTCCTCAAGGACGTCTGTGCTAAGGGCACACTCACCCCCGACGGACGGAGGACAGGCAGACTCAGACTCAGCAACAAGACTAGCGGCGCAGTCTAGACGACAGCGAGCAGCAAAGTCGACAAGCTCAGCACCAAGAGCAGACGCAGCAGTAGACTCAAAGGAAGGGTCAGTGACAACAGTGGCCAGGAGACGCGCGACAGTAGGACTAGCAGCACAAAGGGAGTCAGACTCCGGGTCAGCAAGGGCAGGAAGAGAGGACGCAGGAGGAGACGGCAGAGGGACACGCTGCGGAGCAAGTGGAAGGACGCAGAGCCATCTGGTGCGTGCCAGGGACAGGAAGAGGACGCTGACGTGAACCACGACAACTAGTGCGAGCAGCACGAACAGGCGACGCAGGACGAGACTCAGGCTCACGACGCTGCGTAAGACCCCCGGTCGGACCAGTGTAAGGAGAAGGAGCAGGCAGTGGGGGGGCGGGCTGTAACTGTGACTGCGACTGGACGGGCAGTGGACACTCTAAGGAAGGAGCAGGACCAGTATAAGGCGGGGGATCAAGAACCTGCTCAAGGAGCGGAACGAAGTACGGCCGCGGCCGCGCAGCGCCTCCAGAACCAGCAGGGACAGCACCAGCACCCCCAGCGTCAGCTCCAACTCCAGCAGCACCACCAGCTCCAGCAGCACCTCCAGCAGATCCAGTAGCGCCAACTCTAGTAGCGCCAACTCCAGTAGCACCTCCAGAAGCACCGGCTCCAGCAGCACCTCTAGCTCCAGCACCTCCAGCAGCTCCAGCTCCAGCAGGACCACCAGAAGGCCCAGCAGCTCCAGTAGCGCAAGCTCCAGTACATCCAGCAGCACCTGCTCCAGCAGCACCGCCAGCTCCAGCAGCACCACCAGGCCCAGCAGCTCCAGTACCTCCAGTACGAGCACATCCGGGACCAGTGGCTCCAGAACCCCCAGCAGCTCCAGCAGCAGCAGGACCTCAAGCGACCGTAGCACCACCAGCTCCAGCAGCACGGCTCCAGCGCCGAGCAAACCACTCGCGCAGCTGCTGTGGAGAGAGTAGCTCCTGCCGGGACGAAGCACCCAAAGGACCTCCAGGCTCAGCACCTCCAGACTCCACACGCGCAGGCTCAGCACCCTCAGGCCCGGCACCCCCAGACTCTGCAACCCCAGGCTCAGCACCCCCAGGCTCAGCACCCCCAGACCCATCACCCCCAGGCTCCACACGCTCAGGCTCAGCACCCCCAGACCCGGCAGCCGCAGGCCTAGCACCCATAGCAGCACCAGAGTCAACAGCTACCTCGACAGGCTCGATTGCGTCTACCTGGGACACACCTGAGGGGGCAGGACTCTGAGGGGGGAGGGGGTCTACCGGAGGAGAACCTGGCGCGAGGAAGAGCGGCGGGGGGGGGGAGGGGGGCAGTGCGGTAGGGGAAGAGACGGTAGTAAGGAACCGACTCGTCAAACGTGACGTATTGAGAGAACAGAACACGGCGCGAGGTGGGGTGGTAAAACTGCCAACCAGGCGCGTCAGGGGGGAAGCCAAGGAAGACGCAGGGAACAGCACGGGAGGACAGCTTGTCCGCAGACAAGTCGCGAACGAAAGCTCGAGATCCCCAGACACGGAAGGCAGACGCATCGCTAACCTTCCCACCGCAGAGTAGGTGTGGTCTTCGGCATGGAGACCCGGGGCTGGAGGTTGAGCTGATGCGCAGCGTACTGAACCGCGAACGGCCACAGAAAATGGGGAGCAACCGCATGGATTATGGACGTACGAGCGACGTCCATGACCATGCCAATGCGGCGCTCAGCAATCCCATTTTGCTGCGGAGAGGCCGGAAGCGTGAACGTCTGGCGGATGCCCTCCGCACGACAGAAGGCTCGCAGAAGGTTGGAGCAAAACTCTCCACCTCCATTGGAGTGCAGACGTAGAACAGGATGGTCCGAGCCAAAACTCTCGCTGAGCTGATGACGGGCAGCGCGGATCCAGTCGATCAGCACCTTAGTAACCTCACCCTTGCGGCGCAAGGGGAAGACTGTGGTGTAACACGAGTAGTCGTCAACGACCAGAAGAAAGTAGCGCTCGTGACCCTGTCCACGGACGCGGGCTGGGCCCC